GAGTGTAGCAGATTTTGGAATTTGAGGGTTGTGTGCCGCTGATGATGCTGAGCGTGATCGAATGGATATGCTGTGATGATAGCTGAGTGTTGAGAGTATGTTGAGGGGCATGACGACTGTGTGGCCGGCGTTTATCGCATTTGACATAATCGGTGGATTATGTGTTAAGTATCGATATGTGTGGAAGTGTATGTGAGATGTATGCACTATGTGCTATGTGTGTGATGGATGTGGATCCGTAGGATCGATACGCTTGTTATGCGTTGCATTTGTATGTTGTGTGATGGATGTGGATCAGTAGGATCGACACGCCTTGAGTGCATTGTGGTGATGTGTTGTGATGAGTGGATCCGCATGATCGACACGCTTTATATACATTGTGCTTATGTGTTGTTGTGACGATTGGATCAGTAGGATCGATGCACTTCGTGTGCTTGTGTGTATATGCATTATATGATGCGATGGATTAGTAGGATCGTGTGCACTGTGTGTGCTGTGTGGTTATGCATAGTGTCTTGCATAGCATGTGGACGTGAGGTATGATGTACTCACGTGCTCCAAGTGGGGAGCGTGGACGTGAGGTATGATGTACTCACGTGCTCCAAGTGGGGAGCGTGGATGTGAGGTATGATGTACTCACGTGCTCCAAGTGGGGAGCGTAGACGTGGTGTGTGATACACTCACGTGCTCTAGTGGGGAACGTGGACGGGATTTGGATCGTTTCTCAGATGGAGTGTATGCGACCACCCGTGTTCCAAGCGGGTAACGTTGAGATTTAATTATATGGGCTCAGGAGGAGCGTGGTAGGGATAGATCGTTGCTCGGATGGAATGTATGCGATCTATCATGAGTTGAGTCGGTACCGCATAATTGTCGAGTCGGGTTGATGTGTTGCATTGTTGTTTGTGTGTGTTGTGAATGTTGATGATGGGATAGTAGGTCCGGATGTGTTGCATGTGTGGTATGCATAGTGTGTTGGCATGGGACAGTAGGTCCTGATATGTTGTATGTGAAATGATTTATTGTTTTCTGCCTTTTATTTCATGTACCATTATACCATTAATATTTGATCGTGATTCTCACCCCTTTGCTGTTGTTGTGGTCTGTGCTTCTTCGGAAGTACAGACAATCCAGGTGTTTAGCTAGCTTGGATTGTGGCGTCGTCGTAGAACTGCTCTGATACGTAACACCGGGGCTTTTGGGAGTTTTATCGTTTATTGTTGATATGTGTGCCCCCGTGGCGTATCTGACTTTTGTGAGACATGTGATGATGTTGATGATGATATGTATATTTTGGGAAAATGGCCGATTGTTGTATATATATGATGATGTTGTTGGATGTTGATGATATATATATATACTTTGAGTTATGACATACTTCCTTTCCGCTGAAATTTTATTGAAAATCAGTTTTGAAATGATTTGTGAACTTTTGTTGAAAAATTGTGATATCCCGTTTGGGAGAGAAACTCTGATATGTGTTTATTTAATTGTTTTATTTAATTTTCGGGAACGGGGTGTTACAGCATACATCAAAGAACCCATTATATTAGCATATGAAATGTTATTCATATAAGTTCTTTCAACATCAGTGTTGGGACACTGATCTATACTTAGCTTGAATTGAGGGTTTGTCCAAGTCACAGCGGGCTTTGAATTCGGCATACCATACTTTTCAAGAATCTTTCATAGGTATGCCTCTTGAGATAAGCATAATTTCGACTACTTTCTATCTCTTCGGATGTCAATCCCAAGAATCCTGGACACAGCTCCCAGATCCTTCATGTTGAACTCCTTATTGAGTTCAACCTTCACCCTTATTACATCTTCGACATTGTTGCTTGCTATTAGAATATCATCCACATAGAGCAACAAAATAACAAATGAATTACTCGGTCAAAATCTGAAGTAAACGTAGTGGTCGAACTGACTTCTAATGAAACTTATGTGTGCCATGAACTTTTCGAATCTCCTATTCCACTGTCAAAGAGATTGTTTCAATTCATATAAAGATCTATTCAGCTTGCACACATAAACTTTCTTCCCTTTTTTGACATACCCTTTGTTTCGTTTAGATCACCATACAATAACGCAGTCTTCACATCCATTTGTTCCAGTTCAAGGTTGAACTGCACCACTGTGGCAAGCAACATTCAAATGGATATGTACTTCATAACATGAGAGAATACATCATTGAAGTCGACACCTTCTTTCTGAATGAACCCCACAACAACCAATCTTGCCTTGTATCTCTTCGACGCCACTCCTTTGATCCCTTCCTTAACTTTGAGAATCCATTTACAGCTGACTAACCTGACTCTAACAGGTTTCTTGATCAGTTTTTAGGTGTTGTTATCATGAAGAGATTTCATATCATCATCCACAGCCTTCATCCATTCAATCTTCTTTCGACTCCTCATAACTTTCTTATAGTATCTAGATTCTTCGTCTAGAACCTCACTTGTAGAGATTAAGACATAAACTATAAGATCTGCATACCCAAGTCTCTGAGGTGGCTTAATGACTCTCCTCGACCTGTCTCTTGCTAGCAGATAGTCATTATCAGTCTCCTCATCTTCGATGACATCTTCTGTGTCTTCTTCAACTTCATTTAGGATACACAATTCAACATCAACATGCTCCACCTCAATAGGAATCTCTCCCTACTCCATCTCTTTGTCAGTATCATCAGTTTTCTTGAAAGCCATCTCTGCTTCATTGAAAACTACATCTCGACTAGTGATACACCTCATGTGACCAGGCTCTAGGCACCATAGCCTATAAACTTTGACTCTTTAAGGGTATCCCATGAACATGCATTTCAGAGCTCTAGGTTCAACCTTGTCTTGCTAATATGAGCATTGGCCATGCAGCCAAATACTCCCAGTCTGTAGAAACTAGGTGGATGTCCCGACCAAACTTCTTTAGGTGCCTTCATTCCCAAGGCAGTCGAGGGACATCTATTTATCAGATAAGCTATTGTCGAAACAACCTCCGCCAAAAACACCTTCTTCAATCTAGCACTAACCAACATGCATCTAACCATTTTAAGGATTGTTAGATTGAATCTCTCAGCTAAGCCATTTTGTTTAGGAGTACCTGCTACAATCTTATGCCTCGCAATCCCAGACTTAACACAGTTACTATCGAACGCTTCGTTGCAGAACTCAAGGCCATTGTCAGTTCTCAACCTTTTAACCTTTCTGTCAGTTTGAGTTTCGACCAGAACTTCCAACTTTTGAAATTCTCAAAAGTTTCATCCTTCGTCTTCTTGATGAATACCCATAGCTTTATGGAATAGTCATCAACGATGGATAGAAAACACCTTACACCTGAGTGTGAAGGATTCCTTGCAGACCCCAAAATATCAGCATGAATGTAATCCAGAGATCCATGTGTTCTTTGCTTGCCTTTGTTAAACTTCGCTCTACAGGATTTACCAAATACACAAGATTCACAAAACTCCAACTTTTCAACTTTGTCACCTCCTAGCAGGTTCTGCTTTCCTAATTCGACCAGACCTCTTTCGCTGACATGACCAATCTCATGTGTCATAATTTTGTCTTCGACACAGGTTTCGTGGATGCAACATTTGTCGAACCACTTACAACCTCAGCCTCAAGGGTATACAAGCCTTGTTTCTTCACGCCTCTCAAGACTTCCTTTGACCCTTCATGACTCTTAGGATACTTTTCTCTCCTTGAAAAAACACATCCCTTCCCGTCGAAGTCATCTTGCACAATGGTTGCGTTGCCATTATCCTTACCTCCATGATCTTTTAGGCGTTTAGGGAACACATTTCTTGTGTAACCCTCCTTCTTACAGTGATAACATCGAATACCAGATGTTTCGCCATTATAAAACTTCTGCTGACTTTTACCTTTCTTCTTGTCAAACTTACCATCATTTCGCAAGAATTTTCCCTTAACGGCCAAACCTTTGTCCACCGTCAAAGGTTTATGCTCCTTTTGTTTGTTCAAGTCCTTAGAATACAAGGCTGGTTGAACTTCTTCAAAGCTCAGGGAATCCCTTCCATACAAAAGAGTTTCTTTGAAGTGAGCATGTGTTTTGGGCAAAACACACAACAACAATGTTTGATCTTCATCATCGATCTTCACATTAATATTTTCAAGATCAAAAATCAGCTTGTTGAACATATCCAACTGCTCAACCAACACTTTGTCTTCACTCATATTTAACGAATACAAATCTTGCTTTAGATAGAGTCGATTCACCAGCGATTTGGCAAACAAAGCTTCAAACTTGCACACTCAAAACTTCCAATTAATGAAATGATACTTACTATATGAATAACAATAATTAACTTCTCATGACAATGGAGAAACCTTCTAAGAGCTGGATGAAGTGCAATATAGAAGCAAGCTTATCTATGGCCGCGAAATGATGAGGACCAGGGCCTCTCTATGGTGGCAACCACTTGGGTTTGTCTTGGAGGAAACTACCCATCTCTAGTATCTGGAGGAAACGATCCATCTCTAGCCGTATCTCAAGCCTTATTCTGCGTTGTTGCTTCAGAGATATCATGTTTAAACGTGACTGCAACGGGATGGTTGATGCTGTGAATGACTATGAGGAGGCAAATCCAAAGCTTGGCTTGATTTCATCCTTCTAGAATCCATGACTAAAGATTATCCTGTTACTTAAAACAATACGTTATTTGTTTTTCTATCCTATGGTTCTATTTTCAATTAGTCGAATTGTTGTGTTATTTTAGAGACATATCTTGTACCATAAGCTATTATTTATTATTATTAATATAATTTTGCTACTTCAAATAAAAAACCCAAACATACCAATGTAAACAGAGCCCTGAAAGAATGCACATGAACCGATATAAGATATTTAATTTGATATTGAGGAACTTTTATATGGGTATTAATTCATTATAATAAACAGTGAGTGCTGATTTTTTACGAGAACTAACTCATAAAACCTCAACCATGAGAAACAAAACAATATGTAACTTTACAGTTTGAGACTTATAATTTGGACTGTTTCTTGGAACTTCTTCCTGCTATGAATTCCTGCATTTTCTTGAATTGCTCCTTGGTCATTCCATTATAATAGTCATGGCCCCTCTCCTACATACCGTACACAAGTAGAGAACTCATCAAAATTAGATAAACATAGTTTGAACATCTCAACTCAATGCAAAGTTATGGATCAAGATATTGCAAAACAATGCTTACAAGTCTTGTTGTTATCTAGAGTCGTTACAGCTGCAACACAGTGAACTATAGATATTGATATTTGGCTCTAAACTCACTGTGTATTTATCTACTTAAAGGTTTTAACATATGGTTTGTTACCGTGTTACCATGAAAACAGCTAAGACAAAACGATATAGGAAAGTCTTGATACCGATATCTTTATTCTCCGTTTTTATAATGAATAAGAAATTGTAGTTAATTTACACCATGACGACCACAATCAGTATCGCAACCCCTGAACCAACCGAAATCGCGAAAGCCTTTATGCCACCGCAACGCGACCGTTATTAAAAACCTAGTCTGTGCTTTTTTAAGAGCAATTGTTGGTTGTTAATATGTTATATTGGTACTTAGGTTGGAACGTTGGACCACATTCTCAACCTCATTCCAGTAAGTGTCCTAGTTTAACCACTTCAACCAGTGACCCTGTCAACTATTCTTAAGTAACACTAGCATATATATTGTGCTCATGCAAATCTATATGCCTATTGCCTAATTACAATTATAAAGCTCACAAATTGACATGAAATGATTAATGGCAGCACACAATTGAAACTTACTTGGCACTCAATCAATAAGTTTTGGTATGCATAAGCATAATCGAATCCATATAACAACTAATGTTTTAAAAAACGGTTTGTCACGCAAAAACCGCCACGACAAAACGGTGTCGATACTGATACTCCTATTCACCGCTTTTATTATGATGAAAAAGAAATTGTGGTTAATTCACATCAAGACGACCACAATTAGTATCTGCATCACAACACTTTTACCAACCGAAATTACGAAAGCCTTTATGCGAATTTAACAACTATCAACCCTTATAACATTAAATATGGACGTCTACATGAATCAAACTATACCATAATGAAACATAATTGAATCCATAATATGCAATTTTAGACACACAAATGCTATAGCACTAACCTTTTCAAGAGAAAGAGCATGGCCAAGATCAAGCTTAATGCCATCATTTATCACTGACTTGTACTTCAACACCAAGTCTGGGTTATTTTTCACAATAGCTTCTGCAATTTCTTTGCTTTTCTTCATTAATTCACTCTCCTCAACAACATGATTCACCAAACCCAACTTTTCAGCTACCTCTGCAGTCAAAGGCGTGGCCGTAAGCGAAACCTCCCGGGCTTTATTTACTCCTATAATGCGGGAAAGCTTCTGAGACAGACCCCACGACGGGAATATCCCAAATCTGCATACAACAAATAACACCAATGAGCAACCTAAGAAAAAGTATGAAAATCAAAGGTACACATGTACTACCTCCTTTTTGATTGTCATTTTTTTTTTTTTTTACTTTTACACAAGAAAACTAATCATTATTGTAATGTTTTAAACAATAATTCTTCTTTTTTTTTTTTTATAATATCCTTAATTAATTATTACATTCATTTTATTTTTCCTCTCTCTACCTACAAAAGTGCTACCTTAAACTGTATAATAATTAAAGAGGAATAAAAATTTATGAACTAAACTAAAGGAGTAACAAAGTAAGCCAATAAATTAAATTATTATGATAATGGTTCCGGTCGACCTCAAGTCTGCACCACCGCGGCTATGAGATATTGCCCGCTGTGAAGTGAGAATCATCGCGACTTTATTCTTTAGCAATAATGATAAAATTCCTAGATAAAAAAAAAAGGAGAGGAATGTTAGGAACCTAGCATGAGTGTCCATGAATTTGGCTCCCTTGGCAGCAACCAAGATATCACAAGCAAGCGCAATCTCGAAACCAGCTGTAACTGCAAATCCTTTGATAGCACCAATAATTGGTTTCCGGCACCGCTCCATTTGCACGACCGGATCACTCTCCGGATCCTTAACATCGCCCTTGAAAACATCCTCCGCCGCGGTGAGGTCAACGCCGGCACAGAATGAACGACCTGATCCGGTTAGTATAATCACCCGAACGGATTCATCCCGGTCCAGGCTCTTGAAAGCTTGAGCCATGTCCACGTTCATCGCCCGAGTCAGCGAGTTGAGAGCGTCGGGACGGTTGATTGTAATCACCGCGATGCCGTTCGGTTCGCGGTTGACGAGTATGAGCTTCTTCTCCGATGGTGACCGATCCATGTTTGACCCGAATCGATTTTGATCTTGATCTAGATGATTCGTTTGGACCAATTTTTAAATTAAAAAAACTATAAAGATTGGGTTGAAGTGGGAAAAGATGACGTGTCTATATATATATATATATATATATATATATATATATATATATATATATATATATATATATATATATATATATATATATATATATATAGTTATTCTGTTTATGGAGTGAATAGGGCTGGAAATGAGTCGAGTCGAGTCGAACTCACCTCAGCTCGGCTCGACTCGTTAAGAATTGTTCGAATTCGAGTTCGAGTTCGAGTTCGACACGAACTTTTTTTTAAGCTCAAACTCGACTCGTTATAAGTTCACGAACAGTTCGATTCGACTCGTTAGGTTCATCTCATTAGGTTCAGCTCACATGGTTCACGAACTTAAAAACTATTTTTTAAAATATATATATTTTTTAGTATATTTGACATTTTAAATAAATATATATTTTTTAAATAAAATATTAAAATAAAATAAAAGTTATCATATTGATATTTAACTTTATCTTCGAAATCTACTAATTCAAAACCTACACAACTTTCAAGAGATACATTTGAGAGTCTAACTCAAAAACTACTAAATTGAAGATTAAATTTGTCTAAGATTTGAAGTAAATATTTAAACCTAATCTTAAAGACAGTATAATTCTTTTCATATGTAATCGAGTTGACTCATGAACCTAACGAGTCGAACTATGTATAGTTCAAGTTCAGCTCATTTAGTTAACGAACTTAATTTTTCGCTCATACTCAACTCATTTGGTTCATGAACCTAGTTCAACGATTTAATTGTCGAGTCGAATTCCGAACTATCTTCGAGTTGGTTTGGTTCATTGCCAGCCCTAGGAGTGAATCTTAAACTGATGGAAGAAACTCTTTTTAAAAAATCTATAAAGCAAAAAAATTATATTAATAAAAAATAACTCTTAAGATTTCAACCAAGTTAAGAAATCATTTTCAAAACTAAATTTATATATTTAATTTTAAATTGTTATGCTAAGAATACAAGAGCTTAAAGCTAAAGCTACTATAAGGCTAATGTCGAAAATTTCCAAAATAACAATTGAAATAGGAGTGATTTGTCTATGGATCACTTGGTTATGTAATGAATTTACTAGACTCAATTCGTCAAAGTCTTACTTTATTCAATTCAATATAAAAATTGTTCATATTTTATGAGTAACTACTTAATTTTTTATCTTTAACTTTACTTTACTAATCTTAAATTTTAACCTGAACGTTAGAGTGTTAATCATGCGAGTCAATCTCGCATTGTCGTAGAAGAGATTAAAGTCATTATCCAAGATCAATAGTTATTCAACTCTCTTTCTTTCTGGTTCCTTCGAGAAGCTGCAACATTCATTTCGTGTTTTTAAATGGAACATCGGCGCCTATGTGGGAATCGACTTCTAATTCCTACTATTTTCACGATTTCATATCCAATTTTCTATTCAATTATTCATAACTTTCTTAGATTGTCGAATTAAAAACGCATTCATCATTCGATTCCAACAATTTCTACTATTCATGTTCTCTTTTCAATATCCTTACTCACAGCTCCCTCATATCTCAAACTTGAGAGCATTCAGAAACCAAAACGGAGATCTGTCACAGTCGATTCCATTTATCGTGGTTTTCGCTTCAATTTCTCGCCATCAAGGTGTTTAATGTAAAATTTAGTAAACAATCACTAATCTCTTATTTAAGATTACTTACATGATCAACTAGAGAATCTTAATGCTAAAACTTTTGTTCATAGTTTTGTGGAAATGTAAAGGATTTCGACTTGGTCGAAACAATTGAAAAGCAAAATGTGAAATGTAAGTTCGACAATGTTAAAAAAGGCTTGAAGTTTGTAAACAAATGAAGAGTAACAATGTAGTTAAAGGAGAGATGAAAGTAAATTTGTAAAGAATATTAATTGAAATGAAAAACTTTGAATTTAAATGAGAATGGTGTTTCAATGTTCAAACTTTTTTTTATAGTGAAACCCGTTTCTTTTTAATATGGGTATGTTGAGTATTTTTGATATTTAGAAATGAAATCAAACAGACATCTCAAATTATAACACTAGAATCTCTATTTATACAAATATAAGATAATTGTTTTTTAACGTTCGTTTCTTCCGTCTCCATTACGTAGATTCTTGCATGTACTTCACTATGTTCTCCATGAATTCTTTGAGATGAGACTAAAAAGTAGTTATTTATTTTAAACCAATTTTTTAAATTAAAAAAAAAAACTATGAAGATTGTATTGCAGTGGGTGTAAGTAACATGTTTACATACATAATTATTCGATTTATGTATTGAATCTTAAACTAATGGAAGAACTCCTTTATGAATGAGTTTTTCAACTTTTAATGCTACTTTAAAAATTCTAAAGTTTCACCCACTTCTTTTAAAAAATCTACAAAGCAAAAAAATTGTATTAATCAAAATATAACTATTAAATTTTCAAGGAAGGTAAGACATACTTTTCAAAACTAAATTTATATATTTAATTTTAAATCTATAATATAAGAAAATTAGATATTTTAAAAATATTATAAAAATTCAAAAATACTCTTTAGTCTTTTTCTTGAGACATCATTAAATTAAGGGCAATGTTTTAAAACTGAACTAAGTTTTCATTGAACAAATTTGGTTACTATAGTTTTGCAACTTTTTCTTATTTGCCAACGAGCATATGCCAGGTGTCCGAAATAGGAGCATTGTTTGTCCAAAATTTATTTTTGTCAATCAAGTCTTTTATTTGATTCAAAAGTAACTATACGTCCTTTTAATTTTCAACCATCTTCATTTTTAATATTCAATGTTTCATCTTCAAAAATGTTATATTACTTATTCCAAACATCACACCACATTGCAGTGTCTCACATTTTTCTCATCCTTTTTTCAATTTTACCTTAAAAAATTGAAACATTCAGCCTTTCTCATCTCTGTCTTTCTCATCTCTGTCTTTCATGACCAACCAAACCTTCCATCTTCACCTTTTTCATCTCCCTTCTTCTTTGAAAATTCTCTATTTTAGTTATCTGTTGTGTTTCATAATGTTTGTTTATTCAGAGTTTCTGTTCATATGGTACATTAAAATGCATGCTAAATCCTATGCATCTTTGTTTGATCTTTGTTTGGTTTGCAATGTTTCTTTGATCAATCAATTCTTTTGTTTACTTTTATTTGTTGGTTTTGTTTTGTGATTACACAAAAGAAATAATGTTCGTGAGAAAAAATAAATGAATCTGGTTCATCGACTTACCACTAGGTGAGGATTTATAATTTTATGTTGGTTTAGTATTATATGTGTGTATTAATACTATAAATAAGGAATGTTTTTATTTTTATTTTTAGTTTTTTTATACAATGAAGGGCTTAAGCCCCAAAGCAAAAACAACTCTAGACACATTACACTTTCCAATCCCATCTTGCTTCATAATAGCCTTCCATAAAGAATCTGTAGGCTTCACAATCATACATTTTTTATTACTGCTTCTGTCATACTTTCCCTTAAGGATGTGACACCAAAAATTGTCATCTCCATTAAAAAATTTCCACACCAACTTAGAAAGAGAAGCCTTATTCAGAGCTTTACCTGTAACATTGTAGTCATCATCGGATATATCGGGATAGATTCAATGACACTTTTAACAAGCGCCACTCTACCGGAAAACGCTAAATTACTACCTTTCCACAATCTCAGCTTTTCACTAACTTGATAAACGATACATCTATAATCTGCCTTTTTCGGAGCTTTACATGTAAGCGGAATGCCCAAATATTTACCAAGAGAATTTGTTTCCTTAAAACTTGACATATGTAACAATTTCTCCTTCGTGGTCCTGCTGACATGTTTGGAGAAGAAAACCCGCATTTTTTCCATAAAAAGAAGTACATATGTGAACTATCCACATTTGCCAATATTGCTTCCTCCCAGATCTTCTTCTTGTCACCATCTGCATGGAAATTTTTTGGAAAAAAACTGCACCTTCCACGGATGTTCCATCTGGTGGTCTAGGAATGTTTGGTTCCTCTATCTTCCCCGTCTCAAGAGTGCAATTGGAATTAAAGTCGTATATATTCAGATGCGGGTGAGTGTTTGTCCCTTCACTAACATTGTTTATGGAAATTGAAATGGATTTCTTACTATTTTGACAGAGCCATTGAGTCTTATCGAGGAACCATTCATTGTTAAGCAGGTTTGTACACTTATGATTATTGATGCATGTAATATTTCACCGCTAAATCCATCTGTAAACAAATAGAGGTGTAAAGCGTTAAGCGTTTCTTTCTGATTAGTAATGTTTTGATGATTGTGATGATAGGTGATGCAGCTAGAAACTACATTTGTAAATTATTGGCTGAAACCACTAGAGCACCTCAGATCCCAAACAATGTGTCAAAGAGACATGTCCTTAGTAATTTTGTCGTCAAATCACACTAATTTTTTAGGTCATCAAAATGCTCCCCTTTAGTAATGCGTACAAGTCAATTTTTTTCAATTTTTTAGTTATTTTTTTTCCTTTTCAAAAATAGGTAAATACTTTCAATTATTTAATTATTTAGTTATACTGACTCCGCTGTATTACTGGTATCATCGCTTGGTAACAAAACTAAGGTATATTTCTTAATCCAACTATTTGTCAATGATAATTAGTGGCTAAATTTTTTATTATGGAAGGTTAGATAACTTAGACGAAACTAAATATGTAGGTTCTTCTCTTAAAATTAATATATTTATATCATGGCAACAAGTAATAAGGGTTTATTCAAAACTAAAGATGTTTTTTTTAGTGTTTTCTTAAACTCATCGTTTTTTCCCAGTGAAGGGAGTGTTAAGATGATTTTGAAAAGAAAAATTTTTGCTAAAAAACATTGGACATCTTTGATTTAGGAGACATCCTTCTATCCCTTAGGGTTGATAGTTAAACAAAGTTTTTGTTTGCAAAGATGACTTATCAGTTTTTGCCTAAATATATTTGTACTAAGATTATGAGTTAAATTTACCTATTTAGTTTTACCTAAGGTAGCTAATCGTCCACAACATCTTTAGCCTGCCATATTTATGGATTCTGATGATGATAATCATCAAAATAATTTGATTAAACATGAAGAACTTATGAAATATCCAAAAAATTTTGGATAAACTTAATAAATGGACAATTCCATCAGTACATTCAAATCAAGTTTATAAATTTGGTAAAATAGATTTATCTCGCTTTGCTGTAAAAAGCTTAGAACAAACTATTCAAATTTCTGAAAGTACTCAGACAATTAAACTCTTAACAAAAAAGGATTTACTTCCTTTTAAAAATTATAATTATATTCATGTTGGTTTAATACAAGTTGTTGTTAAACCTTTGACTTTGCTAGGATTAGATACTAGCATCCTGGGATATATTAGAGATGCTAAATGTAAAGATTTTAAACAATCTTTAGCTGCTTTAATTGAGACAAATCTGTGTCATGGACCAATTTATTTTGATGTCTCTCCTAATATAAGCTTATCCATGACTGATAAAATTTATTAGATGCCCTTCAATTAACTATTCATACCAATGGTTACAATTTTAAACAGGGCAGTGAAATAAAGGCTATATGTTATAGGGTTTATTACAAAGTTCTTACCTCTTTAAATTCTAAAGCTAAACAAATATCATTTCCAAGAACTACTACTTTAGTTCAAACTAATTTGCTAACATCTAGTGTTGCAACTAATAGGTTACTAAAATGGGATGAAATTAATTTTTCTGAAACCTGGAACCTTCCTCAGGTCGTAGAACCTGAGCCTATCCTTAATAAGGATGTTTATTAAATAATCCAGTCTAGTGAAGGAGATTTAGAAATAAACTTTAACTCTAAAAGAATTATTAGAATACCTAGATCTATGTCTGGAAGACATTCGGCGAATTCTATAAATGAGTTTTACTCTGCTCCTAGCCAATTTCTTAGATCTTCTACTTCTCAATTAAGAGAAGAAATAGAGGTATTCGAAAATATAAGACTCAGCGAAAATAAAATTCCCCATGGAATATATCAAAAACCAAATCCTCCTAGAGTAGAATCACCTACTCCCTCAGACATGAACTTCCCGTTATAATGTTAGATTATTCCCCAGGTAGTAATCTAAGAAACCTTGTCAATGACGAGTTTCAGCATGAAAGATACACTCAATTTAGAAAATGGTTTTTTAAAACTTTTTCTGCCCCTGTATTAACAAGTTTTAAAGATGAGTACTATACTCAGATGTCTATGAACCAAGATTTCATTACCTTTGTCAAATGGTTCATTAGTTACTTTATAAGTAAAAAAAAGAAGAATTGGTTTTTATAAAACATAACGAATTGTTAGTTCTACAAAAACCTTGGGAAATGTCAAAGGAGAAAGAATGGAATCTCCTTTCCCCCCTGAGCAAACAATAAGTTTGGGTCCTCATACAGAGGCTACACCTTATCTTACCCTTCAAAGGGTTGAACAAAATCAAATGACTCTTAAAGAATTAAATTTCATAATTAAATCCAATAATTATACTAATGCCCACCTTGTTTGCCTAGGAGAACAATTTATTTCTCTAGTAAATGAACTCTTATCCATAAAGGACCTTTTAGACAAATAAATAGCTCGTCAAAAGATTATCGTTGACTTTATTAATAAGCCTAAACCTCAAGAACAAGCTTCTACATCTAATATTCCAGATGTTCCTATAATTCAACCTCCTATTCCTATAGAAGGGTTTAAAATGGAAACTAACGGTGATGAGTTTGTCCGTATTCTTGAGAAAAGCTTAAAGAATTACATTTAACGGTAATGTCTAATCAAGACTCTTCTAATGAAGAAGAAATTAATGATTTAGTAAATATGTTGCTGACTTAGACATAAGTAATCAAAATACTAATGAGATAAACCCATTTTATACCTCTAAAACTTTAGAGAAATACTATTATAAGCGTTCCTCTCCTCAAGATTTACTTTTTGAAGAACCTGAACCCTTCCAAAATTCGTATTCTGGAAAAGTCATTTATGAATGGAACATTGACGGGTAAAATGACAAACAAATCCTTGATACAATACATAGAATGATTATGTATTCCACTGTTTGTAAACAAAACGGAAATTCCGATAGAGATATTGCCACCTTCATATCCACTGGATTTGTTGGTCAATTAAGAGGTTGGTGGGATCATTATCTCACCGATAGTCAGAAAAAGGATATTCTTGACCATAAGAAAATGATTAAGTCAGAAGCAAGTGGTGTTTCCACCACAGGCGAAGAAGATGCGGTTTATACACTGTATCCTTCAACATTTTGTTGGACCAATATCCCTATTGGAGAAAAATTCAAACTCTACTCTAAAATCTAAGATGTCCTTCCCTTACACATTTTAGATGGTACAAAGACACATTTTTGTCTAGAATTTATCAATTAAAAAACCCAAATTCTATCCATTGGAAAGCCAATTTTTTTGATGGTTTACCCCATTTCTTTTCTAAAAAGGTTAAATAATATTTAAGAAGTAAAAATGATGGGATAGATATTAACTATCCTGATCTTACATATGGTCAAATTATAAGCACCTGTGTTAATGAAGGATTAACATTATGTAATGATATTAAGCTTAAAAATCAGCTTAAGAAACACAAACTTTCTGAAAAACACCAAATGGGTGAATTCTGCGATCAGTTCGCCTTCGATCTTGGTAGAACCTCTGAAGATAAAAAGAAAAAGGGAAATTTTTTCAGGAATAAACCTCATAAAAATAAGGATAATTATAAAAATTCTTATAAGAAGAATAAGAAAAGAAGTCACTTTAATAAAAATAGACCAAAAGAAAAGACCTTTATTCATAAAGACAAAAGAAAAGCTAAAATGCTTGATGTATCTTGCCACAAATGTGGTAAAGCTGATCACTATGCAAACTAATGTTGGACCAAGAAAGCTCTCAATGATATTGAGGATGAACAATTACACTCTCAACTTGAGAAAGTTTGCTTACTCAAGTCTGACTCAAAAACTAATTCTTCTAATGAAGATATTGACATGATCTACGAATCATCATCAGATTATTTCTCTAAAATTCTGACAATCATAATTGTCAATGTAATCAAATGATTACTGGAAGTCTATTGTTGACATGAATGGTCTTAATGTTCTTACTACAGAACAAGATGAAACCATAAAGGCTATTGGGTCTATTTATGATAATAACCTTAAAATTAAAATGCTTGAAGTTTTAATTAAAGAGAATTCTAAAAAAGAATCTCCTATTATTAGTGAAGCACCCTACCAATTAAGTGAGATTTTATCCAGATTTCAACAATCAAATATCTGTGAAACTCCTGTTTTCCTTACTGATTTAAATAGAGAAATTAATCTTTTGAAATTTGAAATTACTCAGATAAAGAAAGATAATAAAAAATTATCTCAAAGGATCTCCTTTCTTGAAACATGTAACTTTAAAGTTGAAGAAATATCCTCTACTAGCAGTCTTTCTACTAATGATAGATTTCTCACTCTTATTGATAGAATAATTTCTCAAAAATGGTTTGTTAAAATAACTTTAGTTATTAACAGAACGTTTATTTTAGAAAATGAAGTCGCCCTTATTGATAGTGGCGCTGATCTTAATTGTCTATAGGAAGGAATTGTTCCTACCAAGTATTATACAAAAACCACTCAAACCCTTGCTCAGGCTAGTGGTGGCAAATTAACGGTTAATTATAAATTACCTAATGCATACGTTTGTAATCAAGATATTTGTTTACCTACCCATTTCATCTTAGTTAAAAACATGACTCATATAGTTATTCTTGGAACTCCTTTTTTAAATAGCATTATCCCTTTAATTAATGTTGACACTAAAGGCATTACTACCATGATTAAGGGTAAAACTGTCACTTTTGAATTTATTATTGATCCTCATATTAAAATGCTTAATGAAGTTAAAAGTATTCTCTTAAATAAAGAAAAACAATTAGATTTTCTTAAAGAGGAAGTTAGTTTATTAAATATTAATGAACAACTTAATAAAAATGAGATAAGAGAACAAATCAAATTGATTGAAAACCAATTCAAAAATGAAGTGTGCGATGATTTGCCAAATGCTTTTTGGGATAGAAAGAAACATGTTATTTCTTTACCTCATATTGATGACTTTAATAAAAGTCAAATTTCCATCAAAGCTAGGCCTGCTCAAATGAACCATGAGTATTTGGAGTTATGCAAAAAAGAGATAGAATCTCTTTTAGAGAAAAAATAGATAAGAAAATCCAAATCTCCTTGGAGTTGCACAACTTTTTATGTCAATAATGCTGCTGAAAGAGAACGTGGGGTCCCTAGACTTGTTATTAAACCAACATGAATATAATTATATTTTTTAAAAGGAAGTAAATCCTTTTTTGTTAAGAGTTTAATTGCCTGAGTACTTTCAGAAATTTGAATAGTTTGTTCTAAACTTTTTAGAGCAAAGCGAGATAATAAATCTATTTTACCAAATTTATAAATTTGATTTGAAGGTACTGATGGAATTGTCCATTTATTAAGTTTATCCAATTTTTTTTTGGATATCCCATAAGTTCTTCATGTTTAATCAAATTATTTTGATGATTATCATCATCAGAATCTATAAATATGGCAGGCTAAAGATGTTGTGGACGATTATCTACCCTAGGTAAAACTAAATAGGTAAATTTAACTCATAATCTTAGTACAAATATATCTAGGCAACAACTGATAAGTCATCTTTGCAAACAAAAACTTTGTTTAACTATCAACCCTAAGGGATAGAAGGATGTCTCCTAAATCAAAGATGTCAAATGTTTTTTAGCAAAAATTTTCTTTTCAAAATCATCTTAACACTCCCTTCACTGGGAAAAAATGACGAGTTTAAGAAAACACTAAAAAACATCTTTAGTTTTGAATAAACCCTTATTACTTGTTGTTGCACCCCAAAATTTGACCAACAATTATTCATTCATTGAGTGTTTGAAAGTTGATGCCTTCATCAGAAAGTTCAAGAGATCCTCAGAGGAATGGGTTGAAACCAAGGTTGTGTGCTTCATAGCTTGAGAGTTGTGGGTGCTCCTCAGATGATTCTGAGACTTTGAGAATGAACTTGATGTTTTGAGAAAGCCTATGAGATGTCTTGATAGCCATCATGAAGCCCAGAGAAGTCATTATGCAAGAGTTCAGAAGATTCAACCATGAATGGTAGAATTAGGGTTTTGACTGGGTCAACCCTAGGATAACTGAAGATTTGGAAAAGGTTGAGACCTAATCCAAGGGCCATGAGATCATGGAATGATGTATAGAGATGTTATAAAGATGATTCCTAGACCAACTCATCATGATTGAAGAGTTTGAGAAGTTTCAAGTTAGGGTTTCCAAGGATTGTCAGTGAGAAAACCCTAGTTTGATCCCTATTTTCCAGGCAGTTTTAGCTCTAGATGTGATTGATATCTCATCTTCCCCACAACATGAATGTTGTATAGCTTGTCCTAAGCTTTAATTTGAGTGGTGGAAGTCCTTGACAGGAGTTACAGAGCCCAAGTTATGGTTTTGACAAATTACAGGTCAGCAGAGGTGTGTGAATCTGGGTCCTTGAAAGTCACCCAACTTGCAGACAACTTTTGCCCTAGTAGGAGGATTCCTATGATCTCTTGGTCAACATGAATGTTGGAGGGCATCTTCTTAGCTTTAATTTGAGTGGTAGAAGTCCTTGATTGGATTTGTGGAACTCAACTTATGGTTTGAACAAGGCAGGGGTATTTTGGTCATTTGTCAGTTATAGGTCATTTTAGCCAATGCCTAAAACTCCTATTTCCAAGCCTCAAATGGAAAAACTCAAAACATGAAAGTTGCTCAAAATGTGATTTTAAGTCTGGAAAGAAGGTCACAAATTGTTGGAAAAGCTCATAGCATGAGATTACATGATTGGTCCAAAATGAACTAAAAAAGGCTTATAACTTTGAAAAGTTGAAATTGAAAAGTGATTTGGGAGATCCACAAATCCAAAATAGGTCATCCAATATATAATTTTGATTTGAAAAACCATTTTGAGAACATTGGTTTAGCTAGAATTTTCATTTGAGGTCTAAAAATGGGTGATGCTTTGAAAAGTCATTACTTGAAAAAGAAGGCAATGTTGGAAAACTTAACATAAGCCAAAAATGAACTTGTTTTTCACTCATCCACACTCAATAACTCATGTAAGGACATTTTGAGACTAAATTGCAAGGCATAACATATGGGAGATGAGATTTCCAACTTATCATCACATGAGAATTTCAAGAAGTTTCCACCACATTCTAGATGAATCTAGAAGCATCTAACCATCATTATAAAGAGAATGCATCCGAAAGTGATCAAGGGTGGTGATAGAGAGTCAAGTCAGAGGAGAAAGAGAGAGATACATTGCCATTGAAGAGGTTTCTTCAAGTTGAAGCAACTTGAGTTTTCTTCCACTACAAACCATCTCCTTCACAACTATTGCAAACAGAAGACTGGTGATCATCCAAGGATCATCTAGAAGCAATTCCAAGGCTTGAATCGTGCTCTGCATCACTCCACCATAACCTCTTGACAGGTTTTTTCTTCACCTTCTATCTCCTAAATTATTGAGTTTTAGTTAGTTTCATAGATACAGAAATGATGCACTAGGGTAGATGATTCTTTCCCATGAATTAGGGCACGATCCATGAGGTTCCATGGCAGGTGAGTGATTCTTGAATCTTCAAGAATTAGTTGTTTAGGGCGTTTTAGTTAATATGAGTTAGGTCAGATTGATGAGCATAACATATAGAACATCTGTAGACCATTAGAATCAAGACTAGTGAAGGTTGATCTCAGTTGATTTCATTTGAACCGTGATCTTTAATCCCTCTGTTAGAACGACCTAGGTAGAGTTAATAGAAAGTGTACGTATGGTTGTGTAGAGCTTGAGTAGTAGAGCATTTTTCGTGTTTGGATCGTGTGAAACCATGGCCTGAGCAGAGAGATAGAGGAGCTCGAAGATTAGGGCATGGGAGGAGGGTTCTGAAAACCCTAGGTCTCATCTGGGACGATGAGGGAGAGCCCTTGGATCCTCTCCAAAATGTTGACAAATTAATTAGATCGCACGGCTGGGATTAAGTCTGAGAAGTGGAGGGAAGAATTCAAAAGAGCGAAACGCAGTCGTTTCACTTAAGCCAGCATTCTGGGCTTATGCGCTATCCCCACCCCCCTTTTTGTCTGGCCCAATCATTTTAACTGGCGTGAGTTGCTATTCTAACCCCCCTCCCTTTTATTTGATTTAATTCTTTTATTTTCTTTTATTGTTTTTTCTGTTTTGTTTAATTCATTAAAAATTGATAAAAAATGATTTTT